CCCCCCCCTTCTGAGCACGACCTACGCACGGAATACCGGGGCATGCCCGGGCGACGCGTCCAGCTGTCAGCTCCGCTTCTTCCGGCAGAGAGACCTTGTGACTTTCTTACCAGTGGGTCGACCAAACATCGTCGCATGTGACAGAGAGGCTGCGCCTGTGTCTGCGTGAAACATGTCAGGCTAGTAGTGATGACTACATACGCACGACAATCCGTGCAAAGCCCCCTTCCTATAGTCAGCCACGCGTACTCTCTTCAACACATTAAATATTCCATAATCCAATGATGCATTAACAACACAGCATTAGTGCGACACGAATCGTCGAGATGACGAGTCGTCATCTTGGCGACGGCCCGGCGGGCGACGGACTCTCTCATCTGCAGCCCAGCACATCCTCTCACTCCATTTTGTCTCTCGTTTGACCGTCAGGCAAACATGAGGTGAAGCCAAGAAGGAGGCTGGAGGAGCGGCAACAAAAGCAACCATCGCTCTCGAACGCGCAAGCCTCGGCGAGAAGACGACCGTGTGTGGATTTAAAGGGCCACGGTGGGGAAGTCAATCTTAAAGACGAAAAACCGAAAGGATGCCGCACACTCGGGCTGGAAAAGTTTTTACTGTATCCTAGCGTTTATAAGCAATCGATCACCTATCTGTGTCTAAAAATAAAAATAGACCGCAAATGTAGGCCAGCCTTTGAAAAAAAAAGCAGACGCGCACACGCATAAATATAACGTGCATATTAAAAACTCAGCATATGATAGGCAGAATTGTTGTAAAATGCTTCCACGTAGCAGCATCCTTTCCTCCCTCCCCGTTCGCGTCGCCGCAACATCATCCCCGTGACCACATTCACGCCGCATAACAAAACACGCGCCAAGACACTCTTTACCTTTATGTCTGCCTTTCGCTGTCATCGTCACACTGCTAGTCGTTTCATTGGAACAAGACGCTCATCTCCGACACTCGCTGGCTTGTGTCTCCCTCTATCACTCCGTGGGTGACTCTGGAGGGTATTATTCAGTGACGGCGAACCACCGCTAGGAGTAGTGCGCGTACACGGAGCCCGTACATTGCAAACCACCCACCGCCTCCTCCTCCTTTGGAAAATGGGGTATTGCCTCGCTGAGGAGCGAATTCTAATAGAATAACGAGGGGAAGACCCTGATTGTGTCGTATGGCGCTGGATACCCCCCCGCCCCCGATCCCAAGATCCCCACCCATCACTTCCATTCTCCCGCCCTCACCGAAAAGGTTGAGACGCAGGCACATGCACGGTGACTTTATTGAGTGAAATAAGGTGTTTCGATAACACGCAGGGATGACCATGCTACATAAGAGAAAGAGAGCATGAGGAACCAGGGAAGAATGATCACAGCTGAATCAGTGTGCACATAATGTACAGTCGCCGTCAATGGCCGTGCATCGTTCGCCATGCCTACATTTAATCAGCCGGTCCGCGGGAGTTGCGTTGCAGACGGACATCCTGGGAGTCGGAAGCGAGGGGGACTGTGTGTACAGGGGGCTGAGGGGGGAGGTTTCTGATCTTCTGTCACACAACGTGGTGTTGTCGGGTCCTCCTATTGCAGGTGTCGACGATATCCGCGGGTGCAAGTTGCGGCACTGGCATCATTTGGCGGGTTCTCTGTCTTTTCTCGGTCGGGGAAAACCAGCAGTTGGTGCTCAGGTTTGGGAGCTGGAAGGACGGATAGCTCGCGGCATTTGAGGCGGCATGCTTGAACCCGGATTTGTTTTGGTGAAGATGCTGGGTTTTGGAGGAAAGGGGGAGAGATATGGGGGTCGACTGTAGCAGATTCTCACCAAGAAGAAACTCGGGCTCTACCTCTCAATGACGCCCCTGCGAAGCAACGATGTGCAACCGGTCGGCAACACCCCAGAATGGCGAGAGAAGGAACTCCCTCGCATATTCACGCTCACTCGGGACGACGTGCATAGGCACAAATACGCACCCGGACTATTACTGCCATCTTGTGGAGGATTACACTTACTGTACAGGGCTTCCCCTTCACGCATAACTCGGATGACCGTACTGGTCTGACAATTTTGTCACGTGGTCTTCAGGTATGCCAAAAGTACTCACATTGAACTCATAAGTAAGATACAAATACGGTACAATGTCATAAAAAAGCTACTGTTGTTATGTATCCTTGGTACAACGTTTTCTATCCTACAACTACAGGGCTCACAATTGAACCACTTGGTACAAATAAGTAACCTATTTTGTATGGTTAAAAATGATACATAAATGGTCCAAACTATCAAATGAGTGTAAAGGGGACATATCTGCACCTTTTTGTTCAAATGTAGGGGTACAAACCAGTGGGGCCCAGTGATCGGCTGGTTAAATGGGTGAACCAGTGGGACCCAGTGATTGGCTGGTCAAATGGGCCGAATCAATCCTGGCAAACACAGGTGGATCGCACATTTAGGACTAGTTTGAGGGATTTTCCCACCATTTAAATATTTGTTTTAATTTTAAGACAGCGGGTTTTTAAAGCAGGCTCACATACTTTGTTTAGCCCAGAAAGCAGATTAAAATTATTTTTAAAAAATCATTCACCTGATTAAAATCCATCTTTCTAAAATCCTACTTAAAAATGTCAGGTTCACTATAGGTTTATAATTAGTAAGAACTGATGTTGAAATACAAGGATTGACAGTGTAATAGGTTTGACGTTCTAGCCTCTATTTTACTATTAAAATGGGCTGCAAATTCTTCACACATTGAATTAGACGACATATTGATTTGGTTATTAAAAACAGGATTAATCAAATGATCAATTGTGGAAAAAAATAGTTGTTGGGTTATTCCGGTTCTCACCAATACGTTTTGAGAAAAGAGCTTGTCTCGATTGATTCATCGCCTTATTCGAGATAATCAGCTGTTCACAGAAAATTTGGGAAGTTGAAAGTGAATCTGCTTTCGCTCCATCATCTCTCAGCCATTCTGCAGTTTCTCTTCAATTATGTAAACTGAAACACAACCTAGGTAGTGATTTTAAACAAGGTGACAAACAAGTGTATAAAATTGACCTGAAGAAAGTATGTTGAAAAAAGTGTAAACCAAGAATGATGCTATGTGAACTATAATTATACTGAGAAGACAGAAGAGATGTATGATGTCAGAAAATACAGAGTGGCTTTGGGTATCTTAATTTAACTACTTGCACAAAACTTTATTTGAGTTTCATATTGAGTAAGTTATTATAATATTCCACTACATCGACAGAAGAGCAATGGTCCACAGTAAAACAGATCGAACAATGGTCTACAGTAAAACAGATCGTAGGGTACTTTACTTCAATAAATGTGATGACAAACTTGAACTACAAGTGTACAGTGATGCTGTTTAGGCAGCTGACATTGGTGACAGACGAAGCATAACAAATTGCTGTATTAGCCTTAACAAAACAGTCCTAATGTTTCATGGAAGGCTAAGAAACAAGCTGCCATTGGGTTGTTCACATGTGAAGCAGAGTATATGGCTATGTCTGTACATAGTACAGTTGTTAGGCCATATTGGCAAATTTATATCAATATGTGCAACCTAGAGCGGCCCGGTGGTCGACTGGTTAGCATGTTGGCCTCACAGTGCAGAGGTGCAGTGTTTGATACCGGCTGTGTCCTTCGTGTGTGGAGTTCACATGTTCACCCCGTGCCTGCGTGGGTTTTCTCTAGGTACTGCAGTTTCCTCCCACCTTCCAAAAACATGCGGGGCAGGTTCATGGAACACTCTAAATTTTCCCTAGGTATATGAGCGTGAGCACAGATGGTTGTTTGTCTATGTGTGCTCTGCGATTGGCTGGCAACCAGTTCAGGGTGTCCCCCGCCTACTGCCCAAAGACAGTTGGGATAGGCTCCAGCACGCCCCGCGACCCTTGTGAGCATAAGCGGATCAGAAAATGGATTCCATTAGACTGCCATGCATGTTTTTGGAATGTGGGAGGAAACCGAAGTTCAAACTCGGAGTTCATGCAAATTCCACACAGGAAGGCTGGAGCCGGAATCGAACCGTGCACCTCTGCACTGCGATGCGGATGTGCTTACCAGTCACTCACCATGCCGTGAAAGTGAAATGCAAATATTGCCCAATCTCTATGGATATATATGTAAGTCGAGGGGTTCGTAGGTTTGTAGTGGATAGCTCTACTTTAAAAATGGGCAAAAGGAGAGATGGAATCCTTTGAAGGCAGCTTTTTATTTTCCCCACGTCTGCACCTCCGAACGGATGAACGAGAACACACCTCTTTCCCGGTAACACAAAACACTTCCTGGTTTCCTTAGCCAATCAGATAATATCAAAATAAACTTGTTTAAGCAATTATTAAACGGAATATAACCTAGGTAACTGTAACACAAAATAATATAATGCTCAAATGTAAAATGAAAATAATTAATATTTTAACATAAGCTTACATATAGATAGATAGACAGCCAGACAGACAGACAGACAGACAAACAGACAGACAGAAGTGTCTGTTTCTGAAGTACAGTGTAAGTACTTTTGCTTCTGTTGTAATGGCGTTGCTTCATGTATACTGTACTAAAGTCTCACTTCAAAAGGTCTGCATTGTTCAACATCTCAGGTCAAGTCTTCCATTCCTTTCAAATGCATGCAGCATCATTTCAATGCATTTATAGAACCTTGTAAATATTGAAATTTAGAGTGATACACAATTACTTTACACGATGATGAATTAATTGAACTAGGTTCCTAATTTAGGATGTTAACAATAAACCTCAGCTAATTCACTGGTCGTGTATTGGTACGTGTCGCTTGCTGACTTTCTTTCTGATGATGCTGGTTTTGATTCCCGGCAAGCAGGTACGGCACTACACCGGAAATCTGTGTCGCACCGGTAAGAGCCCCTCCAGCAATGTATATTACATTTTTAAATATGTTTTTTATTAATTCAATAACGTTTAAAGACAATAAACTTCACATGTAGCTATTCTGTACTAATCGCTGCTTCCGTGTTTGTGCTGCACTTGTACGTGTGTATGCTTGGGATGGGAAGGATAGGGGCGGTGGGAGTCTCCAAATTTCAAAGGTTGCCATTGACCTGTGGCACTTATAATTTTTTAATGCTCTTGAACAAATCCAGTTAAACTCCTTTTACTACAAAACACAGTCACAAGACAATAAACGCCAACCTCAAACTTTTCTGCAATGGTTGAGATGTATTATTGTGAAGGCGCGCAGCCGGATGTTCTGTCATTGTTCCTGTTGTGTAGGCACAGGCCCGCTGTGATTTGGTAGCTGCTGCAGTAGGAGGAAGGACCGCGGGTCTAACCCTTCCATCGCTTACTTTCGACTTGGAATTCCTTAGGTAGCTCGTTGTAGTAGCGATCTACGATCGTTTGAGTGTTCTCTGGTCGTGTTCTATGATAATCACGTCGGTGATTTATCAACGGACTGATATCAATCGCCATTTTACCCGCACGTTTTCCCTGGCAGAATCGCTAGCACAACAATGGCTCTGAAAAGAATCCACAAGGTAAGGAAGTGATCGCAGAGGCCCTGTATTTCGCAGTTATGTTGTTTTTTTTCCCCCGACGTTGTTCTGTAACTGGCCGTCTTTTTGGGGTTATTACGCTTCGCATAATTTCCTGACATTGTCAAAATCGTCGCGACTGGCCTGTGCGTAGATTACCTCCAGCCAGCCATCTACGACAGTTGGGAGGCTAAAGCAATGCGCCGCTTTCGGTCTCTCCAACGGGCCACCTCGATTTACACGACGACTTTGTTTCCCGTGGGTGGTTATCTTCATTTGGCTTACCTTCGACGCGTTTAATCGCCATATGTTGGGCTGTTGGCACTCCCGTGTGAATTACCTCTGCATTCAACTACTTGCTTATCTGAATATGCCCGTGTGGCTGGCTAACGATGATAAACCCAATGTTTCCTCAGATGAAGCTAAGCTAACACATTAACACTAAGGTAAAACTTGATTGTACTCGCTAATAATTGAGCTTGTCGTCCATCGTATCGTTTCTCGAAGTCACCCACGCGGATACGATGCTTGCTAACTTTATTTTTTATTGCTAATGTGAGTGGATCAACTCGCTGCTACATTTGACAGTTGTCCCCTTAGCGGCTATGCTAAAGTGAGCTCTCTCAACAACGACCCCATACGCTCGATTAATTGTTGTCCAAATCGCTAATTTGGATCTTTTAGTGAATGGATCCACACAGTGTATGATTAAATATGGATAAATGTGTTCCGTTTGCTATCAGGTTCCGGACGTGAGGACGGATGTCATCTAAAGGAGTTTTGTGCTTGTGCTTTTTTTCATCATGTTACTTTGACAATGCGCAACCTTGAAAGGTATTTTACGTGGTTGTGTCAGGAAAAAAAGTTATATCTTGCCATTTTGTTTGTGTTTTGCAACTGACATTTAACCAGACCGTGGGGAAGCTGGAAATGATGTTAGCAGGCCCCACGCGTCGTTCGACTGATGTCGCGTTAGTGACAGCGGGCGAGCCGCAGAACGACGACATACCGTTTCTTAGATCGTATTAGCTGGTCGTTGTCTACCAAGTGTTAATACGCCAACCATAAATCTGATTCTGCACTGATGCTGTTAGAGTTGTCCTTGCTCACATTGACACCAGGGTAACATTTATACAGCTGCACCGGCTAAAAAAAAAACAACAACTTGTAGTTGACTTGAACCTCTGTCTGAAACAAGTTATAACATAGAGTAATTGTTGTTACTCAGCTCCTAAATTGTATCCATGCTGCCTTGTTTTGTCGTGTGCACTGCCTGCCATATCTGAAGTAGTAGTACTATTCCATCATGCTGCGATTCATTTAGCAATATTGTAGATTCAGTATGTAGCAAATTTGAGTGGACTCTATGCTATTTTCTGTGGCAGTTTTGCAAAGTCTACCTTGTTGCAGGTGCTTTGGTTTTTTTGTTTGTAAAGCAATTAATTCCAAACCAAACAATAGCAACCACAGCAAAACAAACAGAATGAAAACCAAGATTTGAAATGGGGATGGAGGAAACAGCTTTTTAAATTGCACCCTTTGTCCACCTGAATGCTAACAGCAAAAATACAAAAACAAACCCACACTTATGGCTTTCTTCAACAAAAAAGGAAAGCCATCACTTAAGAATGACTTCTCATTTACCCTCTTCCTGATGAGATTTTTAACACTGCCTTTCTGAATTTCTGTTTCAACTGGTATACGTTTTGTTGGCTTTAACATTCCCATCAAAACCTACTCAGTTAATTCTTGCACACTGTTGTTGCGCAAGTGTATATATTAGGCCTGCGGGATATGGTTACACCGTATTGCGACAAAAGTTGTTCTTATAAATTGATATCGATTATATATTTAATATAATTTTTTTTACACTTCAAAATAAGCACCTGGAGAAAAAAAATACATAATTTATGTAATATTACTTGAAAATATCCATCCATCCATTTTCCAAACCGCTTTATTCTCACAAGGGTTGTGGCGCGTGTTGGAGCCTATCCCAGCTGTCTTCGGGCAGTAGGCGGGGTATACCCTGAACAGGTTGCCAGCCAATCGCAGGGCACACAGAGATGAACAACCATCTGTGCTCACACGAGGGACAATTTAGAGTGTTCCATTTAACCTGCCATGCATGTTTTTGGAATGTGGGAGGAAACCAGAGTACCCCGAGAAAACCCACCTAGACACTGAGAGAACATGCAAACTGCACACAGGAAGGCCGGAGCTGGAATCGAACCCGGTACCTCTGCACTGTGAGGTCGACGCGCTAACCACTCGCCGCCGAGCAATGTATATTTGAGATGGTCCAAATGTCTGTTAAAAAAAAAAAAAAAAAAGTGTGTTCCCTGTAGGTTGGTTTAGTTGCATTATAACACATTACACAAGCGGACGTAGTTGGCCAGTGGCATTAGAGTAAGTAGAAGTCCCTTTCAATGTCACAGTAAATAGTAATAAACAAGTCTGACAATAAATCAGCCAATCATAAATATGCTGGATCAGTAACAACAGCATGTATAACAAATGCAATGCACTTAGTCACTTGAGGGAATACTCTAAGTCGTTTGTGATGACATTTTCCTCACACCTCTGCTGAAGAGATTGGTAATAGGCTTGCGAAGTGTGGTCTCTCTGAGGTACCGTAGTGCATGTTTCAAACTTAGGTCGTTGCATTCTATTACTTCACAACTGGACAACATTAATTTTACACACTGAAGTGCTAGTAATTGAACATCAAACTGTAGCTTCTGCGTACAGCACCAACGGTTGGGGTTTGTGTCCTGATTTTTTTGTTTTTTTATTGTTGTTTTTTAAATATTGATGTTGAGTGCAATTTGAACTGATATTGATCACGTCTATCGCAATATATATCGATATTTAATTCATTCCAAGCCCTAAAAAAATCTATGATGGTTACCAGTAGTTGAATGTGTGTCAAAATTAAGTTGCGTGTGAAATAATGACATCCGCGTAAATTCCTTGTCATTGGCGATGTGTTATGCATTCATTCATGCATTCATTCATTCATTTTCCGAACCGCTTCATACTCCCTAGGGTCGCGGGGGTGCTGGAGCCTATCCCAGCTGCCTTCGGGCAGTAGGCGGGGGACACCCTGAACCGGTTGCCAGCCAATCGCAGGGCACACAGAAATGAACAACCATTCGCGCTCACGCTCACACCTAGGGACAATTTGGAGTGTTCAATCAGCCTGCCATGCATGTTTTTGGAATGTGGGAGGAAACCGGCGTACCCGGAGAAAACCCACGCAAGCACAGGGAGAACATGCAAACTCCACACAGGAAGGCCGGAGCTCCAATCGAACCCGGTACCTCTGCACTGTGAAGTCAACGTGCTAACCACTCGACTACCGGGCCGCCTATGTGCTATGCAGTGCTGGTAAAAATGAATGGTATGTAGAGACAGTAACATGCCTATACTTTGAAGATAGATAAAACATAATTGTTTGGGTCGAGAAACACTCACGGGAAAATATGTCACTCCCTTACCAGACTGGCAACTCTTGCAAGTGCTAGCATTATTTTGCCGTGAACGGCTCTGATTGGTCAATCGCCGGTGCGAGGAATTCTTGGCCTGTCGTGCATCAGGTATTTTATCCCAACAGTAGGTTGACCTGAATTGTTTTTTTTTTTTTGTGAAGTGTAGGCATCCATGTAATATTCCACTGGCTTCCAGATTAACTGGCTCCTGATTCCTGCTGTGGCCATTAGCGCAATGTCAGCCCAGTAATTTTGTGTTTCCTGTTGTTTAATGTGAGCGAGTAATGTGCAATCGGCCTTGTGATACTCGGACAAACTGGCAGCACTACTTTTCTTCTGCAACATATAAAAAACACTTATCACCAGCTCTTCATTTTTTTCTTCATTCTCTTTTGGTTTTTATTCTTTTTGCGTGCCCTGATCGAGAAGTTTGATTCATTTTCAACAAGCCTGCTTGTAGGGGGCTCACCGACGCCCAATGTGTCATTGCAATGTTCATTAGTTTTTTTACTTTTATTCAGACAATGAGGTTCTTATTTTACCTTTGTAGCATTGTGCCATTGATACACACAAATTTAAGACGTCTGTTGAAGGTGGGGTACACCTGCCAGTGCCGCTTACCCGGGAGTGAAGGGGAAGGAAGCAGCCATCCATCGTGAGCATGTGGCGAATCAATGATTGGACCAAAACACTGCTGGTGGTCGCTGCAACATTTTAATGACTGCGTGGCAATTTTGTTATATTTTTCGCCCCACTCTGGCCGTAATGGTGAGCCCGCGCCTGATACTGGGAAACAGCTCGTTGTTCCTGGGGCATGTTTCCCACTAAAAGGGGTCTGGCACCACTTGTAATTTGTACTGTTCAGAATTTTACATCTGATTTTGCTTCTACTTAACTGACATTTCTACTATTGTTGTTTTTTTGTTTTTTTTTTTTGGGTTTGTGTTAGGAGTTGAATGACTTCGCACGGGATCCCCCAGCCCAGTGTTCTGCTGGACCAGTAGGAGATGACAGTACGTTTACCACCTTACTACCATTTTCAAGAGTCAAATGTCCACAACAGTTGGATATACATGTATATACCTATAGATTATGAGTCCTAAGGACTTAAATTCAAACACATGTCTTAGTTCATTGTTATAAACAGGGTTTCTTTTCAAGTATTGACTGAATGTTGTGTTCACAGTCTTGACATTATAACAGCACAGCATGCTATATTTGAATGCATTTCAACAAAACAAGGTCATAAAGCATCATGTCGAACAATTAATTTCGCAACCCAGCTGACTATCCTGCTATTGACTGTATGCCACTACCGTTGAATGGATGCTGCCAGCTCGGTCCGTTCATCTCAGAGCAGGAAGACTGTTTTCATCACATGATCAGTTCAAGACATAGCGAACATGTCACTGAATGACGTAAGTGGTACCAATAAAGTAGATGAATCCAAGTCAGTTGCCAAGAAAGATTAATGCCTCAAGCTCCATGTGTCAAATTCATAAATAGGAATATACACTGCATGTACACAAGTAAACCTTCTCAGTGCAGAAACAAACTCTGTTGTACGTATCAATTAAAAAAAAAAAACTTTTAAGTAAGAGTAGTGTAACGTTGGCTAGCAGATAATGTTTTGAAAAATGTAAGAATGCTGAAATTTTACATGGAAGTTCTTGCCTCCGAGTGTTGGCATCGTGTGGCAAGTGCCTTGTGACACTGCAGGAGAATACGAATGTTAATGCAAAGTCACTGTTATCACCTTCTCCCAGTGTTAGCTTTCTGGCTGATGACTATTCAGTATGATGGCGGACCCGAGACAGTTTGATTGGTCCACTGTGACGTGTTCGGTAATTTCATTGGTCAGATGTGATGAGCCTTTGGGTAAATCTAATAACTGCTTGAAGCCCGTTCATAAACGCGAATAAATAAACCACAAATACATTAAAAGCCACATGTTTCAAAGCATGAGAAAAGAATAGCGGCTCGTAGTCCAGAAAATATGGTAGTCCTAAAACGGTTGGTCAACTGTATTGCATGTGTAAAACATCACATTAACACAAGATATTAATTAAAGAGGTCTTAACAACCCCTGGGTTACACACGCACTCCAAGAGTATTAGTTCACTACACTTGAACATTGAATGAAGGTTAATGTACCAACCCAATTCCAATTAAGTTGGGATGTTGTGTTAAACAGAATATCATGATTTGCAAATCAAACTGAAACTATTGTTTTCAGCAAATAATCCTCATCTTTAGAATTTTAAGGCTGCAACATGTTCCAAAACAGTTGGGACAAGGTCATTCATGCTTACCGCTATGATTAATCAACTTTCTCTTAACATTCAATAAATGTTTGGGAACTGAGGACACTAATTGTTGAAACTTAGTAGGTTGTATTCTTTCCCATTCTTGGCTTGATTTACAGCTTTAGCTGTTCAACAGTTGTCTCCGCTGTCGTATGTTAGGCTTCATAATGTGTCACACAGTTTCAATGGTAGATAGGTCTGGACTGCAGGCAAGCCAGCCTAGTACCCGCGCTGATGTGTAAGTTACCCATGCCATTGGCACTAACACAGCCCCATACCATCTCAGATGCTGGCTTTTGAACTTTCTGTCCCTGACAGTCCAGATGGTTCTTTTCCTTTTTGGCCAAGAGGACACAACATACACTATTTCCAAAAACAATTTGAAATGTGGAGTTTTCAGACCAAGAGCACTTTTGCACTTTGTATCAGTCCATCTTAAATGAGCTCAGGCCCCGAGAAGCCGGCGGCGTTTCTGGGTGTTGTTGATAAATGGCTTTTGCTTTGCAAAATAGACTTTTAAGTTGCACTTTCAGATGTAGCGCAGAACTGTATTTAAATAAGTTGGCTCTCCGAAGTGTTCCTAGCCCTTGTGGTGATATCCTTTACATATGGATGTTTGTTTTTGATGCAGCGTCATCCCTGAGGGATCAAAGGTCACGGGCATTCAATGTTGGTTTTCAGCTTTGCTGGTTACATGCAGTGATTTCTCCAGATTCTCTGAACCTTTCTATTATCCAAAGTACATTGTTTCAAAAGGCATTTATTGACTCTTTCTGTGGACCAGTTTGACTTTTTCATTGTTGTGTTGACATCTTAATGAAAGGTTAAATATGGTTAAAATAAAATTGCCTGCATTCTGCCTTTTTTCTTTGGGTCCTTAATTTGGATCGTAAATAATAATTATAATCGTAATAATAAACCGACGAGCAGATTTGAGCTGAGCCTACTTGTGCATTGGCAAAAAGGGGCAATAGTTCACAGTCTGACAGCCTTTAGGAGAGGCTGAGCGGAAGCTAAGCACCACCACAGCATACCAATGAGCCCGTGCCTAATCAGTTTAATTCAGCAGTTAACACACTGCCTTTAAATTGTGCTCCTTAAGCATGATCACAATATACATACTATTTAAATAACATTTCTGTAATGTTTGCGTGCATATGATCACGTATTTGTCTCTCCTGAGCTATTCATGGATTGTTTTGGGTTTTTTTTTCCTTTTTTTGTTGTTGTTCTCATTTGGTCTGTTAAATAGTGGTGTATATACTCTCACCCTGTGTAGGTAGGTACAGCACAATGAAATTAGATGCAACATGAAAACTATCTAAAATATACCCGTTTTACCTAGAAATGACCAATAATATTTAGTGCCATTTCCAAAATGTTGGTAACCGCTTTTGGTGCCACGAGCAGCTCACCGGTAGACTTCCATAGGCATGTTAAAATAATAGGTACAAAGGTTGAAGGGACATGTCAAGGCAAATACCAATTATTAGGCACCATGAGTCAATACATTCTCCAAAGCAATACTTTTTGATGCAAGTTCATCTAAAAAATGAAATAGATCCCCCAACTACTGTTCCCTCCTAATCAGCTCCTCTGCGTTTCAGGTTTTCATTGGCAAGCCACAATAATGGGGCCTGTAAGTATTGACCGCAGAAGTCTCTTTCGTGTTGACAGGTCCATTAACTTATTGTATGATCCTTAGTTTATCACCCATGTAGCTTCTCTGTGTATGTTTTAGGCTAAACATTTTTGTGTCCTGCATTAGAATGACAGTCCTTACCAAGGCGGGGTTTTCTTCTTGACCATCCACTTCCCCACAGACTACCCCTTCAAACCACCAAAGGTATGCGAGACAAGAACACCCTGAAAAATGGAAGTGGCAAAACTGTTGCCTCTTATTGACCTCCTTGTGTGTGTCTTCTACAGGTTGCATTTACCACAAGAATCTACCATCCAAATATCAACAGCAACGGCAGCATTTGTCTTGACATCCTGCGATCACAGTGGTCTCCAGCTCTCACCATCTCCAAAGGTAAGCGCTGTCAGTCTAGCCTTCAGACTCTCAAAGCACGTTGACACATTGTACTTGCTGCACAAGAATCTTCGGGAACCAAGCAAAGCGGTCTTCCTCGCCCGGCTGTCTTTTCACTCTGAATGCTAAGACGCACAGGTGGCAGTAACGCATGTTAGAAATCGTGGCATTACCTGACACATCCATTTCCATGATTTGTCAGTTGATCCCAACAAAAATCTTTTGGACCCCTGTCAGATCATCTACCGTATGAATGTCAAGAAATGTTTGTAATTGTTCAATTATGTTTTGACTTCCCCCAAAATGCCACATGGCATGCGGGTACAAAAATGGCAAATGGAAGTCATGCATTGGTTTTGAACATATTTTCAGATACATTTGAACATATTTTCCCATCAAAAATGTTTACTCCACATTGGCAATTCCACTACATAGCCAATGAGCAATGTTTGTTTACTTAACTTTCTAACGTATTGGTACATTATGTGAAAAATTGTCATTCCTATTTGTATGTTTCAATGTACTTGCAAATACGTTTGCCAGTCAAAAATGTTTTCTCCACAATTGGCAGTTCCACCCGTCCGTACGCACTCTGTCATCATTCATAGTTAACTTTTATTTATTGTTCCTTTTACTTATAGGAGGTTAACACCCAAAGTAATTTTCTTATTTTGAATCGCATGTGTAAGATGAGTTGCCCCACAACATGTATTACTTTACACAAATATGTAAACCTGCCTGCACAACATGGAAAATGTTCTGATTTTTTTTTTACTTATAATTTGAATGCTGTTTGAACCTCTTCATATTCTTGGCAGTTCTCCTGTCCATCTGCTCTCTTCTGTGCGACCCAAACCCGGATGACCCCTTAGTACCCGAGATCGCCCGTATCTACAAGACGGACAGGGAAAAGTATGTTTCCTCTGTCTTCATTTTGGTTCAGTTCAGTTCAGTGTGAAGTACGCAAGAAAATCATACAGTGGCTTGCGAAAGTTTTGGCCCCCTTTGGATTTTCTGACCTTTTGCCATATTTCAGACTTCAAACATAAGGATATCAATTGGGTTGGTTTTTTTTTTTGGGATGAATCAACAACAAGTGGGAGGAAGCTCAAATGATATTTTAAACTTTTTTTTAATTAAAAAAAAAAGTGGGGCGGTGGAGCGGGCAAAAGTTAAAAAGGGGCTATTACTTTAGCACAGCACTATAATTTGTTCAGGTGCCCTTTAGAGTGTGTCTGTGCGTATGTCTACTTTCAAACTGTCAGTTACATCCTACATGTTACAAAATAAAATTTTGCTCTTTATCAGGTTGGTTTTGAATAATCAACACATAAAATGACATTATTACTTCATTTTTCTTTTAATTTTAATTAGATTTCCTTTCAAGTTTTTTTGAATAGGGACAGATGCCACAACACAGACGATTAAAAAAAAGCATTTCAAAAATAAAAGTATTCCCCAAGTTATTGACGTCTATGTATGCTTTGCAAACCGAGCTTTATTTTGAAGTTGGACTTAACTGGGAGCTCAAAAGATTCAATAAAATCCATTTCGGCAACGATACCTCCATTGTTTTTTGTCGCAATTCTGAGGGACAGAGATCACGGAGTATGATTGAATCACAAAAATTCTCATGATTTGTCAATCTCTGTCTGTTTCAGGTACAACAAAATAGCCCGGGAATGGACAACAAAGTATGCAATGTAGTGTTGGTGAGGCAGAATTGTGGCCAACCAGTTCTATGGCAAAAGTTTGGGAAGCTTGAGATATAAAGAGAAAACAAACACAAAAAAACACTTACAAACAAATGAAAAGATTAAAATAAGATCTTGTTGGTTTCCATTGGAGTGCTTTCATTGAGCCACGCCTCCCCATCACCAGAGTACCTCTGCCCCATATGTGTTGATTCTCCTCCCCCGTATGTCTCCCATCTCTTTTTGTCTTGCCTCTCCAACCACCTGACACGCCCTCCCTCCCGTGAACTAACAGCCAACTTGCAATGGTAATAAGCGCCTCTTCTTTCGTGCCCCCGCCCTTTTATTCCTCACATCTGACTGCGTTTTAGTTAGTTTCCTTGCGGGTTTGGTTGTCGCCGCCTAAACCCCCACCCACCCACCACAGTTTAAAGCATTCCTTTGAGCATCTAAACTTTGAAGGGACCCGTTTCTTTTTATCCATTTTTGGGGGGTGGAGGGGCACACAAAATTGGGGGACTTTTTTTACACTTTGCATCCGATGTTTTAGTTTTTTTCTTTTTTGATTCCCATCTGTGGAGAAAGCAGATTGACTGAGTCGAACGGCACTCTGTATTAAATACAATGATGTAACACCCATGTTATATACAACCACATTCACATGGACAACTGTACCGGTATTTAAGCTTTTTTTTTTCTCCAACCTGTGTTTTTACCTGCCCCACCCATCCCTCTCCCCGTGTCTCTTTAGGTTGCTTGTTTTCTTTTTGTCGTTTGCTTTTTGTTAAATTTAGAGGCTATCATCATAAATGGCTCTGGGACTGGCTTGGGCTCTTGAGTGCGAGGAGAACCCACTCTTCTTGCACAAAACCTCTGTATATTGAATTACCCGAGAGGCTCGTTGAGCTTTGTGTGTTGATTAAACTGTGTAATAAAAACCTGTGACTCTTGTCTTGACTCATTCTAACACCTTTTTGGGAGGACATCGGAGAAAAGACATGGTTATTTAATAGCTTCAGATCGCTTTTTAAACTTCCAACTTAAGTACATTGAGTCATGTTCTGTGAGTTTCATTCACACACACACAAGTTTTTTTTAAAAAAAGCATGCCTGAAATGCTAGTTTTCCCATCCGGATTGGGCTGATAAAGCTGCCTTTAACCTGATGGCTTCAACATTGGGTACACCTGCACAATTTGCAAAAGGAAATGTTATTTACACTTCGTAGCACTTTTCAGAGAATGGACTTTACAAGTTTTTCACACATTTATGGAAGAGTCACCCTGCTGAAGTATGTGAATGAAGTATTTTCAGAAAACTACCAAATACTGATTAATATGATAATTTCATTTCAGCGCAGAATCAAATGATCTTAAGGATGTAGCTGATTTTAGCAGAAGGTGGCCAGCATCATGAGATGTTTTAAGGCCCCCCCCCCCCCCCGGCCCTCCAAAGTTTAGTCAAAATATGACTTGGGTCATTTCTAATGAGGAGACGATATATGTTTAACTTTTTTCATGTGCACGTAAGTGGCAGCTGTTGGTTCAAAATGATGTGTCGTTCATAATTTGGGGACAATTGACTTCAAATCACTGTCACTTTAAATGTTTAATTTGTGTTAGAAATATTAAGTAAAAGTCAGTAAAATTACACCACATTCACCAAGAGATGGCAGAGTGGGAATGCTGATGCCTCTGGAAGCAACACAACAGTTGCTTTTACAAAGATAATGGACTGCGTTGATTGCCACTGTCCGTTTTTATATTCAGATTTGAGAGTGTTTTAGTTTTCAGGTTTGGGAAAACAGCACTGCGATTTCATTCTCGTAATAGAGTAGTTTCGCCCCGCCTATGCAGTCCATACACAGTGTCTTGAATAAATTGGTAGATAGATTGATGATTGGATGCGTTGATAGAAAGTGTTCGTGTACAGCACACCTAAAATGAGAATGCAGTGTACCGGTACTTTATACTAGTTAGTACTGTATACAGTATATGTTAACTTTAGGTTGCGTGAGCAGAGTTTGTTCTGTCGCCCCCAGATGTTGCCTCGCGAAATTACAAGATTATTTTAGTTGTCGAAATAGTCACTTCATTAATTGGAATTGTTTCATGAAGGATTTACATCATGGATTTATCTATCGATATACATGTAATACGAATTGCGGACAAGTTATCATTAACAGATTGCCTATGGAAACAGTTTAGGCATTTATGAAATGTCCTTAATATTCATTTTAAAATCTATGTTTTCCTCTCTAGTAAGACAATTGAGCGCACGAGAACAACTGTTTGAACGTTTTCTCCCCACGACTCCTGCTACTTTTGGCATAGTAGAGTACTTCTGATTTACATCAGTCATTTAGGTCAACATTGGATCATTCAGAAATCATCAAGGAACTTTCTGAAGTCCGTTTTCTGAAATCTAGAGAAAAGGGGGTTAAAACTTTTGCACACCGTTTTTATTAAAAGAAAAAAAGGTTAAATATATCGTATGAATTTCATTCCACTTCATGGTTGTGTCCAACTTCGTTTTAATTGGTCAACCTCCCCCTACAATTTTATACCTTTATGTTAAAAACCTGATATGTGGCAAAAGGGCAAAAGGTTCAAGGTGATAGTTCAAGTCAAGTCAAGTACAACTTTATTGTCAAATGTGCTGTATGTGCAAGCACATACAGATGGAATTTCTTCCCTCTCAAGACAACATACAACAAGAGGAGCCGCTGCGGCTGCCCGCACCACCATCAAAAGAAAAGTTAACATAATTGACAAAATAATTCAGACAACACATAAGACACAAGACAATCGTGCAATCTGAACCACTTTCCTGCAAACTTGTTGTTTGAAGCAGTAATAGATGAAAGAGGAGTGAATCAAAATGTCCTCTTCACCAGTGGATCAAAGACGTCGTGCTGAAATGTGCACACGTCTGCTACAAGCTAAGGTGAAAGCAACAAGAAGCTGTACTATCCATTAACGAAAAAGAGATTGGCTCTCTTCTCCTGTCCCATGTAAATCCGCTTCAATTCCAAGTCGCGACTCCCGGGTCCACATACGCATTGGCGCTCTCTCCTGACGCTCCTTTCTTCTCATCGTCGGCTCCTCAAGCCATGCATCCATCCAGCCGCAGGCTGTCCATCAGCACTGACCTTTCCGCTGACAAAAGTGGGGCTTTGAAAAATGCTGCCTATTTCAGGCGCAAAAAACACGCGCCCCAGGGCTGTCCAGCAACGACAGTCAAATGGCGCCGACATTCCTCCCAATCAAAATCAAAATCAGTGCTGGTACACGCGTGCTGCTGAGAAGGCGCAACCACCAAGCAGATTCTTCTTCTTTGACGAATGTCGTGGCCAAAAATGCTGAAAACAGTCCACACGATGTACCAACAACACCGTGTGACAAAACAAAGTTCCATTAAGGCACTGCTGTGTGTCGATGCCCACGAGTGCAATTTTGCCCGACAAGTAGGGGTGTGCATCTCTTCAATGAAAGGCGATTTGATACGTATCTTGATACATGGAATGCAATACGATTCAAGGGTGGTACATTTTAAAGTAGAAAAATTCAAGTCAGTTCGAGCGAGTGGGATTATGATTTGATTTGACATGGTATGGCTCAATCTGAGAGATTATAATACAATGAGTTTCTTGTTGAAAGTAGGCAATAATTTTGCAATAAACTACAGTAATGTTTCACTAGGGTTAATGTGACATTTCCTTCAAAAAGATTGATCAAACATTAAGTGTATTTCGAGCTTTTGCCATTTTTATTAGTAGGCAATATGTAGTAGCTCTCTAAAACCCAAACTATTCAAGGGAATTACATTCAAAGGAACGCCAAATCATCAAGAACATCAAACTTATTTCTCACTTTTTGTTAGGTTTTTGTTTAAGCTATATTGAGACAGTTTCATTCGTTGAGTGTTGATGCACTCACATCTTTTTAAATCAAAACCGATTTTTCGATTGAAATCGGTGTTCGTTACACCCCGACCAACCTGCAGCAGTTGTCATACTTGTGTGTACACTACAGAAGGTAACTCCAGTATGGAAGAAAACGTTTCAAGTACTACTCGTGTGTTGAATTGTCTTGTGTGAAGACAAGACCACAATAGCACATGGACAGGATGTGAATTTTAAAGAAATGTTCTTTGCTACGTCTACGATACTCAAACGTTGATTTTCACCAAAGATCGTAGCCATCAAGCAATTTCACTTCCTTTACTTCTTAATGTTCTTGAAAGAGGCACCTGCTTGTTTGCGCATTTCCGGTTGTTAGTACGGTATCTGGACCAATCGAGAAGATGTCGAAGATAGCCACGTGCAAAACTCTTCACCAAGCCAATTTAAACCTGGCATTTGGAGACCTTTAGAGAAGAAAAAGACCTAAAACGAAACCGGAAGTAGTCCGGAGGGAATGTTCTGAAGCCTCTTGTGCCTTCTTTGTGACGACGTCTGTGTTGTGGGGTGACGTGCTATAGACGAGACCAACGCTTGCGAAAAGAGGACGGCAGCCGCGACTGACCTTGCCGCTGACGCCAAGTAAAGAAGCGTCCAGAGAAAAACATGGCCACTCCCGCTCTCCCCGCCATTCCACAATTGTCAACCAGCTCGGGAGTGAGGTTGTCAAAAGGTAAAGTGTTCAACTATAGCTTCTTAGCAAATTGCGACTGGCTTCATTGTAACTTAATGAACAAAACTTAGCTCGGCCACCTGACACTTGGTCATTTTATAACAGTTTAAGTGACTGTTTGTTTGTATAATACAACCGGAAGTCACGTCAGCCCCTAAAATGAATGACAACAAGTTCGTGCAAAGTGCTGCAGGGACACCTAGTGCTTTTATTAAGGGCTAATTGCTAGCCTAAGTTAAGGCCAAAGAGCCAAATATAGTTTACAGCAAGTGGTGATTCTGAAGGTGATCCAACTTTCTCTCCGTGTAATGGCCTTGTGGCTCCCTAGTCACGGGACCAGTTAAGCTTGTTCGTCTTGTGACTTTGGAGACATCTGCTCAAACACCCCCTGGTAAAAAAAAAAAAAAAAACCCTCTACACATTCCTCCGTAAATGTCGACAGTACCTTGCAGGCAATGGCTACAGCATGTTTGTCATTCTAGAAATCTTTAGGCGTTTGTTTCAAAATGATGCCTTTCTCAAGTGGAATAAGGATCTACAGTATTCTGCTCCTGTTTACCATACTGACACAATATATATTCAATATATGTGTTATAACCTGCAATTGGTTGGCCACCAGTTCAGGGTGTACCCGCCTACTGCCTGAAGACAGCTGGGATAGGCTCCAGCACGCCCTGCAAGCTTTGTGAGGATAAGCGGATCCGAAAGTGGATGGATGGATGGATGGATATGTGTTATAATTGCATCAAGTTTAAAAGGTGAATCTACCTGTGTCACACAGATGTGAGAGTGATAGGAAAATTCTGCAACTCTTGGGCGGGGATGGTACTGAAATGTTAGCCAGGATGCAGACAAACGTTATCTGCAACCGCGAGTTGCCATTTCTACATTTTGTCCGGAGCAGGACTTTTAACAGTGACTCACCCTTTCCAAAAATTCCAAATGCGTATCGATATACTACTTTGCGCCACATGAAACCCACAGAACACATGAAACCTGCATTAGCCAAACCTGAAATTTCATTTCTTCGAAATTGTGTCACCCGAGCCTTTTGGATACAAATCCAGCCCGAGCGTACAGATAAAAGCCCAAACACTACTTTTTAGTTTAGTTTTCCCGTTTTTGTGTTTCTGCAGAGCATTTCCTGGTCGCAGTGCCCGTGGCGGTTGTCGCAGCCGCAGGAGGCTTCCTGGTGAGCCGTTACCTGAGTGGGCGGAGTTGCAAAAAGGGCCCGGTGAACACGTGTATCAACAAAGACAGTCCCAAAGTGGTTCACAGCTTTGACATGGAGGACATTGGCACCAAGGCTGTGTACTGCCGCTGTTGGAAGTCAAAGAAGGTCAGATTTCAAGCCAGTCTTAGTTTTTGCCAAAGACTAACATCAGTCTCTGTAACAAATGTGTTTTCAGCGCCCTCTTCTACTAGTTTTGAACACAGTCTTGAATTTCAAAACGAGGTTCTCTGAAATAATCTGTTTCATGGTCAAACTTCAGCTATAAAACATTGACTCATAGCCGTGCTTGCTTCCCACATCGTGGTGCGCTGCCACTGGATCTGGGGGGGTGACCTGGGGGCTTCAGTTTTGAATGCACCCCCCGTGCTTGACACCGCACCTCGGCTTGGACCTCGCCATCTATCTGAGGCTAATGCAAACCCAGCATCAGGCATATATTCCCTCTGCTTTGTGGACATGACCTTCACCGAAGCATTTTTGGGAACTTCTTTAGCTCTTCTTCTTGCTTGTAATTACACGGCATGTCATCCAGTGGGCCTTGGTACTGCCCGGCATGTTGTGGCAGAAGCTTGTACTACACTGAATGGGTGCACTCTAAATTGGGGTTTTATTGTGTACTGTTAAACTTTGAAAAAAATAAATAGTGTGCCTCTTTGCACTGCGTGATGCCGTATCTTCACGCTGCTCAAAATAGTTGATTGTGTGCAGTTTGTAACGTCAGATTGTCAGATGTTGGAACTGTAGTAAACCCCATGTGGGACCTCCTGTAACTGTCACACAAGTGCTAAAATGAGCTAACTACTTAATATTGTCACAGAAAATGTAAATGGTTGTCTTAACTTACAAACTATAGATCATTGATTCAGGCTACGAAAATAAGGAGCTGACGTATGAGGTGTTGTTCTTCTGTTGCAGTTCCCTTATTGCGATGGCGCCCATAGCAAACATAATGAGGAAACTGGCGACAATGTGGGCCCTCTCATCATCAAGAAGAGGGACGTTTGAGCCAACCAATCCCAATTTTGGTGCTCCCTTCTTCATGCCTCCCCTGTTTGTCTGTACGGCGTAATGGCATTGCAAGGACTGTTCGCAGTATTATGTTGTCACAACAAATCACAAAATAGAATCTGCTACCACACTAACTGAGGTAAAAGTATGACTGGTACTACGAAATTAAACATTTGCAGAGAGATGCTGAATGGTCAGAGGTGATGTGGTGGTGTTGTGGTTTGTTTCTGAAGTTCCACTTGAGCCGTCATATAAGGAAACTCAAGGCCTTAAATGAATTTTGTTCCAAGATACACTACAAAGATGAATGTTGCATGTTTTATTTTATGTGCGAAGTGCTTGACGTTTGTCTGAATTAAATCATCCTCCGTGGTTCTGAAAAAAATGGTGATCAACTATAATCACTCACTGTGGAAACCCTTTTACAGTATGTGCTCAAAGCTAGACTCTCCTTCCCCAATGCTTCTTTTTCTTGAGTTTTTCTACTGTCTAATTCCAGATTCTATTGTCTGCTCTTCTGTATCATGTGAATAAAGTTTGCTTTTGGTGGGACTTTGATGAGCATACCTTGCTTTTTGTTTGTTTGTTTTTTTTTAATTTAGGAAGTCCTTGCGATCAAAATACCAAAGGTATAGAACCACTGCATTTAAACACTGACCCACGCCAGCCTGGTGGCAGAACTGTGTGCGTGTGTGCGTGCTTGATGAAAGGGGTGGCGGGGCTGCGTTCTGCAGTGTCCACCTCTAGCACCAGTGGCCATTTTAAGACGCGTCATTATGTGTGGTCACCACTAGAAGACGCTGTGTTTACACGAGCAGTCGTGTCCAGAGCGTGTTCACGAGTGTTGGTGGGGGCCCCTGCTGCTGCTATAGTGACACGCGCGCACGCACACACGCACCTGCGCGTGCACAGGCTTATGTGGCTGCGTGCCAGATGCAAGCAGGACTCTCGCAAGAGGTGGAGTGGACTCCCGCGTCTCGTGAGGAGTCACCTGCGAAAGCGGCTCTGGTCTGCGGCCATGTTTATTGTCTGTTCATCGGGCAAACTGACCGGGAGCATATGTTGCCCCAACGTTTCGTTTTTAACGAGTTGTTTTGGGTGTGTTGGCCTCTCACAAAGGAAAGTACGATTCAGAAATAAGATCAAAAACAAAACAAAAAAGTAATTTTATTCAGATGTAAATTTAATAGAACGCAAAAGCCCTCAGCCGCATCTGTGTTGACACTACTAAAGCAGACTAATCTATCTCCGAATACGTAATATCAATACAGTAATTATAAAAATATAATTCTACAAATTGTTATTTGTATGCAGTTTGTACTTGCGTTTACACATAGATGCAATCTAATACCTTAAGTGTTCATAAAACACCCCAACTTTCAGAGTAATTAATGTCTGGTACCGTATACACTACCCAATGTATGTACGTATACAAAGTACAGGTCAACTGAGGATCCAAAATTAATTGAAATTAAAACCCGTTGTTGCAGACATTTAGTTAACACATTTCTGTTATAAACAGATAGGTAACGATTTCACCGCCCCCCCCCTCCCTCCCATCAATGTTGACGTCATCTATCCCAGTGTTTTCCTACTGTTAATGAGCCAGGGCACACATGTCATAAATCACACACATTTTACTCAAGAAAAATACCCCGGCGCACCGGCTACCAAAAATGACAACTATGTTAGGTGAAATGTACCAAGCTGTTGTGTCTGTCATTGTACATCGCTGGCATAGACAGATGAACAAAGTAAATAAATACCATGAATGGATAGATTCTCTTTGGGGGGGGTCAGAGCTTAACATGATAGAGTACTTAACTAAATGCAAAGTGATGCAAACTTTGTGTGAACATTTGTTGGGATTATTTGTTTAAATGGTAACCTGCGAAACAACATTTAATTTTTTTAAATAGCTGTCACATAATAAGTAATAACCCGGGTGACAACAGGCGGGCCAGTGGGCTGTTTCATGCCTGCTTTTCTTCACGTCTCTGTGTTAAAGTGCTGACTTCCATCCACATGTTGAAACGTTTGTGTGCATTTCCGTGCCTCGTCGTGACCACGACGACCACCACGCCACGGCGGTGTCGGACTGCCGCCACCGAGTCCACTTCGCATTTTGAGCGACGCCCCCAAATTCCGTGCCGAGTGTTTGCAGACCCTCCGGGACGGAGAGGTGGAGGAGGAATCGGCAGCTCGGCCGTCTGTGTACGCTACAACCCGCACCAACGCCATTAGTTCATGACTTCATCGAAGCTTTTTTTTTTTGACAGCGGCGTTCGAACGAGCGTTTTAGAAGGTAAGACGAGACGTTTCCACGCCACTTCCTGGTTGGTTGCTGCGGCTTTGTGCTGTCGCCTTCCGTGCGTGTCGCAGCGACCACTCGGACTGTGGTCAGCGCGCCGTGGCGTCGGCCGAACGTCGTCGTTTTAGGTAACCTCAACTCGGCCGAAAACACCGACAAGCCTCGCCAATCCACTCGAAAAACAGTCCCGCGGGCTCTCGGGTGACTGCTACGTGTATCCATTTCTTGATTAACACCGAATTTGTCCATAAACGTGTCCACGGAATATAGCCTGCTTGTTTTTTTTCCTCTCTATCCACTGCCACCGCATCGTTGCGCACCTCGCCGCTGCTCGTCGTCGACAGCAGACAAAAGACAGCCTTGTTTTTGGACGCTTCTGTGTGTAGTGTTACCCCGGAAAGCCACATAAGCATGGCTGGCACACATAAGAGCAGTCGTCAAAATGTATTTGAAAAGCGCGCTCCACATTTGACCTGCGCATATGCGCATATCTTTGCATATTGTTGTCGCTCTGTTATTGATTGCATTGATATACCGTGAAATTCTTAAAGGGATACTAACCTCCTGTATGCGGAAATCAGCTGCAACACATGCGCTCATGCTCGTAGGGGCCGGTTAGCTTCTTTTAGGAAGCTTTATTTTCAAACAATTGACATTATTATGATGATGACGTTATTGTTATGCATTTGTCACATTCTAAGCACCGCTTGAGCTATGTTAGCCTGCTGTGTTTACTCTGCTTTTTTTTTTCTCCCCCGACATTTCTATTCTTAACCCTCCTCCCTTCGCTCTGTTCATGTGTTGCTCCCCAGGACTCCACGGCTGCTGCAGAGAATGGGAATAAGGACACAGGCCAAGGCTTGCCATTTTGGCTGAAGGAACAGGACAGTTGTCAACTCTGCGCGCCGGCGTCAATCCCTCTCTCCCTCACCTCACCTCTCCTCTCTTCCCCCCCTCCGGCGCACACACAAGGACACAAACCGCCGCCCACATTCACGGCTATGTCCACAGCAGTAGACATTGCTGGCCCTTCCTCGCCAGATCAAGCCAACAGCAGTGCTAAAATCCCCAACGAGCCACTGAGACCCAGCCTCAAGCGCTCCAGCCACCCCTACGGCCTGTCCCATTACATCGCCAGCCCTTCCCAAGGCATGGACGTCAAAGGCCTGATCCAACCCTCCCCGGCCCAGCAGCAGGCGGCCCCACCCGGCCCCACTAAACCTCGCCGGGCCCCCTCCTGGCCCGACATGTGGGAGTCGCCCAGCGGGCTACACCTGGCCCATGCCGCAGAGCTGCTGATGCGCGCCGGACTGCTGGCACTGACCCCTACCGCCACAGAGCAGGCCGGCTCGGGTGCGCAGAGCAGCCAGCCGGCTAAAAGGGACGTGGTGGAGGTGAAGGGAGGCAAGGGGGACGGCGAGGGAGGAGGATCCGGGCCTGATGAGGAGGAAGAGGACTCTCCCGGATGCAGGACAGACATCCAGCCCTACCTGGGTGCCTGGTTCCCTTTCAGCCCCACTCTCTTGCCTCTCGCTGGGTTCCAGATGGGGGGAGGCCACTGGAGGAGCACGGCAATGGGGGCCGAGGGCATTGAGGGCCTGGTGGCCGAGGGTCACTCTCCCGGCTCTCTGGGCGGTGGCGGTGGCAGCGGCAGCAGGAGGAAGAGGAAGCGGTGCGGAGAGTGCGTTCCTTGTCGGCGTCAGACGAACTGCGAACAGTGCAGCAGCTGCCGCAATCGTAAGAGGGGACACCAGATCTGTAAATACAGGAAGTGCGAGGAGCTGAAGAGGAAGCCGGGAGGTCCTGGGTTTGAGGGCAGAGTGTCCGCATTTGACCTCAGAGGTTCCGACTTTTCTTTGGGCCTGGCGCAGGAGAGAAGCAGCGGCGC